ATTTATTCTGTAAGGAAGAGACTCCAATAATGTATCCAAAAACTATTCTGGGTTCTTCCCACCATTGGAATAATTGCAAAATATACAAAATGCGAATCAAGGTAAATAAGGTGATTATGTTGGCTTCTGTCACTCTTCGAGCAATTTCTGAACTTTTCATAGTTTTCTAAACTTCATTTTAGTTTCTTTGTTGTGAGCTGATGACCTTCGTTAGTCTCATTTTTTTAGAAATCACATATATGACATTAGCCATTGTACTACCAAAGAAAAAGAACTGATGATGACAGATTCTCTCAGGGTGTATTACAAAAAAAAAAGAATCTAATTCATAAAAAATAGGATTTTGCATCACTTTCAGCACTCAAGCATTTACACCAGACTTCGGCGGTAGGCCTCCGGAGGTCAAGCTGGAATTCGTTTTTGTGAAAAAAGCAAAGGGAAAGTCGTATGGCGTCCGGAGAGGAGCCTGCGGTTCAGTCTCAATTATGGCTTTTCCATAACAGGAATTTTGCAAGACCGTTCAAAATCCTGCTCCAGCAAAAGTTCAATGTTCGTTTCAATGCGAGCGTTTGCGCCGGAAATTTGAACGAGTTCTTAAAAATTTGGATAAAGCCGTTTTTCTAAGCGAGTAGGCAATGAAGGGCAACCAAAATTGGCTTAAAGATGTATAGCTAACACTTTTTATGCATCCCTTAACCCAAGTTACAGCGCAATATCCAGATCACAGCACTTCCTCCCTTCCTTGCTCGGCCCTAGATTGTTTTTCCCTACTGGAGAAAACGCGCTCTAAGTATACGGCACTGCAGTGCTTATCCTGATGGTACACGTCTGTTCAGGTTACAAAGAGGGCTTCGTAATTTCTTGGATTTTCAAGCGGTCGTTCTCGTAGGGTTCAATCGGAGACCTCGTGCCGAGGCCTGATTTACACATTAATCACTTTTCAGGTACTCCACACTTTACGATATGGATTTTCAGCAAAACCAGTTATAGATGTCATTTTATTAATAAACAATTACTACCTGAAAACAGACAATCCTATACTTACTTACTTAGATACTTAGATGGCCTGTTTTCACTCGTCGTGCAGGCCACAGCATTGTTTCCAT